CTCCCGCCCGCGCACGCGCCCCGCGCGCCCCCCCCTCGCGCGCGCCCCCTGCCGGGCCGAGGGGGGAACTGCACCGCCGGGGGGCGGGGCCTTGCACACTCCCCGTGCTTGGCAGAGGGCACACCTTGCACACTCACCCCCGCCATGATGGCGGAGGGCACACCTTGCACGCTCCACCTGCTGGCGGGGACGCGCCTTGCACACTCACCCTCGCCACGAAGGCAGAGGGGAACCTTGCACACTCGCTTTGCTGGCGGAAGAGCATCTTGCACACTCACTCTCACCGTGATGGCAAAGGGCACACCTTGCACGCTCGGCCTGCTGGCAGATCTTGCATACTCACCCTCACCCTATCGGCAGAGGGCACACATTGTACACAAACCATGCTGGCAGGGTGCAAAGGGCACACCTTGCACTCTCATCGTTGCCATGCTGGCAGAAGGGCTTCTTCCACACCTGCCCTCACCATGATGCTGCAGTTGCACACTCACCATGATGTTGCACATTGCACACTCACCCTGCTGCCAGAGGGGCATCTTGCACACTCTCCCTCACCGGGTTGGCAGGGTTGCACACTCACCGTGCTGGCAGAAGGGCATCTTGCACACCTGCCCTCACCCTGATGGCAGAGGGCACGCCTTGCACACGTGATCTGCTGGCAGAGGTGTGGTTTGCACACTCACCCTCACCCTGTTGGCAGGGTTGCACCTTGCACACTCGCTTTGCTGGCAGAGGGGCACCTTGCACACTCACCCACACTGTGCTGGCAGAGAGGCACCTTGCACACAAACCATGCTGGCAGGGGCACACCTTGCACACTCACAAGGAAAGGGAAAGGTGGCCTGTTAAGAGCGTGTGGAGGTGCCTGGGCGTGCATTGACCAGCTGGAAGGTCTCCTTTGTTTGGCCACAGGTTGTCCTTTGAACTTCTACCTCCTCCACTTGAGAGTGGCTTCATTGGCCAGTAAGTGTGAGGAAGGGGCCACTAAGTCTCTTCTCTGGCCCGAAAACAGTGGCTACAAATCAGATATTCTCCTTGGAGGTGCAACCCTCCAGACCGGGCTGCTGCAGCGCCTGGTGGGGCTGGTGTCCCCCCCTAATGGGGGTGACCACTGGAACCTTCTCCGTTGCTTCTCCCTGTTCCTGTGGGAGCTGTGGCTTCACCTGGGGACTTGTTGGGGGGAGGTGGTGGGGCTAAAACCCTCTTTCTCCTCAATGTAGTTGCTCAAATTTGGTCTTTTTGATGTGCTGGAGGTGTCTGTGTTTCCCGTGGAGAGTCCTGAGTTGTCCTGTGCAAAGAAGTGAGCTCTCTGAGGTGGTCTTATTCCTGTGGGCACTTTATCTGGAGAAGATAGATGGTCTAAGGTGGCTCGTTTGCAGGGGAACAGGAGAGGAGCTGAGGGGTGCTGAGGAGTGTCCCACCACCCTGCCTGTGAAGGTGTTGCTGTAATGTGAGCTGGTAACAGCAGATGGCTCCCAAAGTCCCCCTGAAACCTGGGGGGACACTGGTGGGGGGCACAGGCTCTGGGCTGGACCTCCACAGTCCCAGCAGGTAGCAAGAAGGGGCTGACTGGGGTGGGCTGGGGCAGAAGAACTGGGACAGGACCACAGCTGGTGTGTCCTCCTGGTAACCTGCTGACTAGAGGGTCCTGGTGGCTCTGGGTTTGTGTGGGTGTGAGAACTTCACTGCAAAACCTGTTAGAGGTACCGCATAGTGCAATCCTCTACTCACCACCCAACTGCTGAGGTTGTGAGTTGGGGGTCTACAGGAAAGCTGGGGAGGGACTCTATTGTGGGTGGAGTGATAGGGTGAGGGGGAACGGTTTTAAACTGAAAAAGGGGAGATTGAGCTGAGATATTGGGAAGAACTTGTTTGGTGTGAGGGTGGTGAGAGTCTGGCCCAGGTTGCCCAGAGAAGCTGTGGCTGCCCCATCCCTGGAGGGGTTCAAGGGCAGGTTGGAGGGGGCTTGGAGCAACCTGGTGTGGTGGGAGGTGTCCCTGCCCAGGGCAGGGGGTGGCACTGGGGGGGCTTTAAGGTCCCTTCCAACCCAAACCATTCTATGATTTAGAGTAGGACTGAGCTCTCGCCCTACCCTAAACTCAAGGCATGAAGACCTCACCGGTGCCTACACTCATCCCTGCTCCCCTGCGGGTGCCATCCTGTGGCAAGAACAGGAAGGACTTCAAGGCCAGGCCATCTACAGAGGGCCACCAGCAGGCAGTCCAGGGCGAGCAGGAGCAGTTTGGGGCTTCAGAGCCTGCAGTCAGAGTGGTCTTTGGTAAACAGCCTGTTTCACCCCAAAGCGATGTTCCCAAGAACTGGCAGAGCCGTGGTGGCCGCTCTCCTCCAGGAATAAAGGCCCTTCTGGCTGCTGCCATCGCTGAAGTTTGTCAACGAGAGGGACAGCTAACGCCAGGAGCGGTGACCAGCCCTTCTGGCATCTGGGCAGAGGCTATAAACACCCCGGGTCTGTGCTGGAGGGAGAGGAACAGAAGGGATCCTGAGTTCTCCTCAAACACTGGCTGCCTTTCCGTGATACCAGGTCCTTGATTTTATGTGGTGTGAGACCAGGAACCTCAGAATTCCCACGAGGTCACGTAAGTGAATACATCCTGTAACTCCCTCGTGAGTCACCTCTGCCTC